GCCCCCTCCTCAGGTGAGACGACCAACAGGGTCTCCAGATACTGCCAAGTGTCCCCTGGGGGCAAAAATGCCATGGGGTTGAGAGTCACTGTTTAGGCTGATGAGGAAGGGATAAGAAACACCCACTCAGCTTCTGTGTGCATTTTCTTTCCCAGAGAGAAATCTTCCCATCTCCTGCCTGAGGAAAACAACCTTGGCTGCCAGTGTTTGCGAAGCTGAGGAAGAGGAGGCCGAGAGTCCCACTCTTCAGTATGTGGGTTTTTACTCAATTCTCCTGTCTTCTGTGTACCTCATCTTGCCCTCAGTACAGAGCTTCTCATTTTGTCAGCCTCTCCAGAGTCAATGGTGAATCTTCTTCAGGAGTCGGGGAGAGGAACTGGGGTCTAAGCTTCTAACTTTTTGTTTGTTTGTTTGTTTTCTAATATCAGCTTTATCAAAAAATAACAGCTTTACCAAAAAACTCACCCGTTTAAAGTGTACAATTCAGTGGTTTTTAGTACATTCACACAACATTTGTTTCTGGGTTTTGGAGGTGACTGCTTCATTAAGTTTTTCTAATTTGGTGCTGACTGTGATTATAGTTTACACTTGCTTTGTGGTAACCCTTTCCTGGTGAAAGTTCTGTGAGCCACGTGTGCCCCAAGTCCAGAAGGAGGGAGGGAGCAGAGCCAGCTTGCACAAAGATTGAGCCTTGTTTGGGGTTTCGTCTCCCCTTTGTTCAGGAACACGGCCCACTCCCACCCCTTGGCACCTTGCAGAGGGCTCACTGCCAGCTGGTCCCCTCCTGGCTGTTTGGTCGGGCTTGTAAAAGTTGGGACAGGGAGGCCACCAAGGCAAAAAGTGGGGACTGGGTCGGTGGCCATTGGCACTTAGCCTCTGGGGGTGGGGCTGGGGGAGGGTGGCATAGATCTTAGTCTCTGGAGCTGAAGGTCAGGACTTAGACCTTGGGTCAAAAGTTCCGAACTCAGGTTCTGGGGTGAACAATTCGGGAGTCCTGAGGGAACAGAGGGACCCTAGCCGCTGGAGGGAGAGCGGGGACTAAGCATAGGGAGTGGTTACCGGGGATCCAGGTGGACTTTGGGAGGGAGACTCAGTGTCTAAATCGGGACCGGGGAACTTGGCCTCTGGGACCAGCTGTGCGCAGGATGTCCCCTAAAAGGCCCTGAGAGCTCCGCGGACTCCCCGGGAGGTTTTCAGGTCAAACCCGGCGCTCTCCATCCTTAGAACAGGGGCCAGGAAGGGACCAGGTTTGGGAGGCCGCTACTCCGCGGCCCTGGGGGAAGCCGGGGGAGGGGCTGAAAGGCCTCGCATTCTCCGCAAAGGGCCCTCGGCTCCCCCTGCGGTTCCGGCCACTCTCCCACCCCAGCGGACCGGAGAAATTGCGCCTGGGTCCTGGCGGAGGTCGGACGCCCCCTGCCGGCCAATCCGGGACTTGGCCTTTGCGGCAACCCCGGGACAGACGGGGGCCAGAACCAGAAAGAGCCTCTGCAGGGGCAAGGCGAGCCTTAGTGGGCCTTGGCGCCGGGAGACTCTACCAGTGTTTGTTATATGTGCAAACAAATTCGAAATCACGCGTTCCTTGCCAAGGTAAGAATTAGAACAACTTTACATAAATCTAAGCAGTATAATTAAAAGAGGCTCAGATCTTTGATCTCAAAAGTAACTTCTTTTGAATTAGAGCGTATACAAATGTAACCAAGCAGTTTAGTTAAAATGAAAACTAAGCTATATTGATTTCTTATAGTGAGCTAGAAGCACATTAGCTCAGAAATGCAAATTAGCTCAGAAACATTTCAAACTAAAAGATCTTATTGCAAGTTACAGCAAATCAAGATACATCTAAGAAGTATTCCTAAACCTAACCTGGCATGGGAAATTAGAACAAATTGCGTTTGTGTGAAGTCAAACTTAAAAGCACTCATTTAAAATAAAATGTGTGATCTTTATAAAGTCCTATATAAATTTTTTAATGTGCAAATAAGCTCAGAAACACACCGTCACCTCAAAAGTACTATCTTTGTGCAAATTAGAGCAAATTAAGTAGGTTAAGTGAAAACAGTGTTAATCACACTTATATGTAAAGTAAATCAAAAGTGCATTATGTTGTTAGTGAAAATAAAGATGAAACTAAACTATGTGTACAAATAAGCAGTATGTTTGCAAACAAACAGTATGTTTGTTAACAAGCTAAGAATCAGACATTCCCCTCTAAGGAAACTTCTAATGGTTAGAGAGAGCAAATAAGAATGAGTTAGAACCAATTTAGATAAATCTAAGCAGTATTAGGGAATATGTCATTATTCTTTAATTTACCTTGTGAGGAATTAGAATAAATATAGTCAATACTAAGCATTTTAGGTGAAATCAAGCTCAAAATCACTCATTCATTTCAAATGAAACTTCTTATTCCTCCTTAGAGATATCCATATGTAACAGTTGATATTAAAACAAATACAGACTCAAGTGTTCCCAAAAGGACCTTCTTAGGGTAACTTAGAGTGTATTTAAGAGTTTATGTGAAATCAAGCTCGAAATCATTCATTCATTTCAAACAGCTTCAGAAGTACTTTGTAAATTTTACATATGCAAACAAGCTCAGAAAACACATTCATCTCAAAATTTTCCGTTTTCCTCAATCGCTAGGGGGAGCTCCTCAGGCCTGGCACAAAGACCCCTCTTTTCCTCAGGACAGACCGAAGCTGATTTGACTGAGGCCACCGGTAACTATGTCCCTACTTCCCCCTCCAGAGGCTGAGCCCATATTTCGGCTCCAGAAACGAAGTCCTAATCTCCAATTTCAGAGGCTAAGACCCCACTCCTCACACCAGAAGCTAAAGACCCCACTTCTCCAACCAGAGGCTAAGTTTCCACCACACACCCCACTGGCTAGGTCCACATGACCCCTTACAGAGGCTGCTGGGTCCCAGTTTTGGCTGCAGCAGTCACCTGGTGCCACAGAGACTACATCCTGCTTCCCTCACCGGAGTCTAAGTCTCTGCTTCTTGATCCAAAAGCTAAGTCTTCAGAGCTCTCCTCAAAGGTTAGGTCCACACTCCCCTCTCTAGAGGCTAAGTCTGGATTTTGGCTCCATAGGCAGTACCTACCTCTCACATGAGAGGCCGTGCCCCTGCTTTCTTTCCAGAGGATGAGAACCCACTGCTGGCTCCAGAGCCTAAGTCCCAATCCCTCTTCCAGAGGCTGAGTCTCCATTTCAGATCCAGAGTCTAAGTGCCAACTTGTGCTGCCAGTGATTCCCCTATATTTTGCTTCAGAGGCTACATATGTCCGCCTAGCCAGAGCCAACCGACAATCTTCCCAGCTGGGTCTCCTGCTGGGTCTCCTTCTCCTTAAAGTGAGTTAGAGTGTATTTAGTCAAAATTAAGCAGCATATTAATAAAAACAAGCTGAAACTCAGACATTGTTCTCAAGAGAAACTGTAACTTCTTAAGGAGTTAGAGTGTAGCTGGTCTAAACTAGCCAGTGTAGGGACTTCCCTGGTGGGTAAGGCTCCATGCTCACAATGCAGGGGGCCCAGGTTCAATCCCAGGTTGGGGAATTAGATCCCGCATGCATGCTGCAACTAAGAAGTCTGCATGCCGCAACTAAGATCCCACGTGCCACAACTAAGACCTGGCACAGCCAAAATAAATGAATAAATAAATATTTTTTAAAAACTTAAAAAAATAAATTAGCTAGTTCATGTGCAATCAAACTCAAAATCACTCATCCATTATAAATGAAATTTATAAGCTTCATAAATGATATATAAATTATATATATATATAAACTAGCTCAGAAATATATATATGACACAAACACAATCTCAAATTACATTAGAGTAATGTGCATCTAAGCAGTATTAGTGAAACCTAGTTCAGAGGCAGACTTAGTCCTCAAAAGTACTTAACTTACAATGGTAAGTTAGTGGAAATATAGATGAAACTGTGCAACCAAGCAGTATATTTGTATACAAGCAAAGAACCAGATATTCCTCTCTTCTGAAGTGTGAAATGGTGAGATAGTGCAAATATAAATGATTTACAGCCAAATTACATGAATCTAAGCAAGTTTTAGAGGAAATAACTCACAGTTACATGTTTTTCTCTTACTTTCCTTGTTTTTGTTACTTACAACAAATTAGAAAGAATGTAAGCAGCTTAAGTGACAACAATGTCAGAATCGTACATTCATATCTAAGATAACTTCCTATAGTGATTTAGATAAAAATCTGTCTGGAACTAAGTAGATCATTGAAAACAGGCAGAAAAACCACACCTTCAACTAAGGTTCAGGTTCAGGAACATTTGAAATGAAATATCTCATTATGAGTTAGAGCATGTTTAGATGAATCTAAGCTCTTTATGTCAAACAAGCTCAGAATCTATCATTCTTCCTGTATTAGTCTGAGTTCTCCAGAGAAATAGAACCAATAGTGTGTGTGTATGTGTTTGTGTGTGTGTGTATTTGTAAAGATGGAGGCTTATTGTAAGAAATAGGCTCACACAATTATGGAGGCTGGCAAGTCCAAAACCTGCAGTGTGGGCCAGCTGGCTAGAGACCCAGAAGAGCCAATGGTGCAGGTCCAGTCTGAAGGCAGTCTGCTGGAGATTTTCCTCTTGCTCTGGGAGGCCGGGCCTTCCACTGATTGGATGAGGCCCACCCACATTATGGAAGGCAATCTGCTTACTCAAAGTTCACTAAGTTAAATGTTATTCTCATCCAAAAACACCCTCCAAGTTGATGATGCTCGCAACTACAAAGATGTCCGGAAGCCAGACCCTCCACAAGCCAACCGGAACTGCCTTCGCCGGGTGACCCTGAGCGCCGAGGGTGTGGACCTGGAAGCCGTCACGGAAGCGGCCGCAGAGGCTTCTGGGGAGTCTTTCAAGCGAACAGGCAGAGGGAACAGACATTTCATTCGGGAACCACTACCTGTTTATGCATGGGTATTTTATAAACAGAGACGGGTAGGCTGTCACTACATAGCCACTGTCGTGGTAAATTAACCGCGCGGTCCACAAGCGGCTCCTGGGACGGCCATCGGGAAGGGAGTCCGCGAGGATTCTGGGAACTGTAGTTCTGGTGTAGTTGAGCGGCCGAGGGCGGGGTGAGCGGTCGGGTCCTCTCTGGAGAGCGAGGCCTGCCGGGCACGTGGCCCCGCGGTGTCCCTCCCCTGCTGCAGGAGGGTGGGGATAGGCCGGGCAGGGCCTAAGATTGGGAGCTGGGGAGGAGTGAGGCTGCTGGGGGAGTGCGGCGGCCCAGGCCGGCGGGTTCGGGCGGTTTCGTGCTTGGAGGAGGGGGCGCGGCTCGAGGTGCGCGTTTGTGGCGGGGAAATGGGGTGACTCCTCTAGCTGCGAATCCCTGAATTGCGGGGCGTTACCCGGACCTTCACTCCTCGGCTGGGGCGAGAGACCTGGAACTCAAATTTCTTTCTTGGAAACGGGGTGGGTATATTCTGGGCCAAACAATTTACGAGTAGGGGGCAGCTCCAGTGCGCATCCCCGGCGTTTATTTGGGGTGTAGGGGTGTGTTCAGCCAGGGCCAAATAGACATCCCTTGTGATGGGGGCTGGGGGCGCGGCTTGGGCCATGTGTCCCTGGGTGTTGTTTGGCCTGGGAGCACTTACGTGCGTCCCGCATCTCTGAACGGTTGTGGGAACCCAGGACTGATCGTGAATGTCAAGTTTTGTTTTTGATGGGGCTGAATATGACCCAATGGTGATTGGGCGGAGGTGGGGTGGAGGAGAGAGCATCTCAGGCCCTGCTCTGCGTTGGCTTGTTGGGGGTGGGTGGAGGTGAGTTCGACGTGGGCAAAATATCCGTAAGGGGTGGTGGAGTGTCTTGGCTCTGGAGTTCCTTGGGTTTTTAGAAAATGGGGAGGTTTGGGGCCTGAGGCAGACATCCTACAGTGATGGTGCACTGCACCGCTGGGGCCTGCATCTAGGCAGTTTTTTGAGTGCAGGCAGGTCTGCTTCTCTGGGATCTCTTGTCCCACGGTTTGTCCTCATCCCGGGGCCCACTCTGCTTTATGACAAAGATCCCAGATTTGGTTGTAATGTAAGTGGCTTGTTTGGCTAATTCTCCCTCTTCTTTGAATGCTTTTCCCTCATGTGTTGGGGTTCAGACCTCTAGTTTGAGACTTACCCAGATTAGGTAGTGTGGGGACCTCTGAGGGCTGCTGGCCAACTGTCCAAATCACTTCTGGGATCTGGTGAAGCCCAGGTATCAGGACTTTAATTTTTGGGTAAAAGGTCAGGTTTTAAACCCACGCAGTAGAATAGTACAGTAAACTCACATGGACGTATCACCAGATTCAACATTCATTAATTCACAGACAATCCTGTTTCATATACATCCCCTCAACTTGTCTTTGGATATGCTTTGAGAACTGTCACACCCGGTAGGGGTTGACCATCACTGACATTACAACTCATCCAACAGGCTAAGCCCATGGCACTCCACAGCTAGAGATCAAATCTAGGCACTTTCTAGCTCTGTCACCTCAGTTTATCAGAAGACCTAACTCCGGGCCTTTGGGAGACAAAAGTTGTACAGTGCCTGGAATTGTCTGTGGTGTATAGTAAGAGTTTAGTAAGTGTTAGTTATTATTAGTAACAAAGGATGATTTTCCTATTTAATAGCATATCAGGACAGGCTGTATTTTGATGCCCACACATGACTCTGTCCCCAGGAAGCTGTCTACATTCTTCTTTGACAGATCTGAGGCTGTTTTTTTTTTTTTTTTTTTTTTTTAAAAGAAGAGGAGCACCCATTATTTTAAGCTTGGGGATTTTTAGCTTGGTATCTGGGGGCCAAGAGACAGTCCTGAAGCTCACACTGCCTGTTTCATCCTCAGGTTCACCTTCTCACATCCCTGCCTGCCCAGAGAGGACTGTATAGAGAATGAGAGGACTTCTTGCAGGTGGATACCACTCACCTTCCATGTTTCTGCAGTGTCTTCTGTTCTCCAGACCTTGGGCAAATTTCCTTTGCTCATCCTGACGTTTTGTGCCCTGCAGTGTTCCATTTGAGGCTCAGAGGACCTGCTTGTTTCTGTATGATACCAGGGCTGATTTAAGGGCAAAGGCCTTTAACAGGGAATATTACCCCAGACAAGTGCTCTCATTCAGGTTACCACCATCCTTGCCCTAGCAAGGTTTCATCCTGGCTGCTGGATTCCCAAGACTGTGTCAGCTGTTGTAAAATAGAAAATGATGGTAACTACCATTTATTGGGAGTTGTTCTGTGCCAGGCACTGGGCTTTACAATCTCTGTAATATTTTATTCCCTCAGCACTGACTTATTTGAACAAACCTACGCTCACATATGATTCCTCTCTTTGTTACATGTGACGGATAAGGGTTGCACTGTTAATTTCTACAACACATCTTTGGAGCATGTAACTGCTGCTAGAGGGCTTTCTTCTAAGTTAAAACATAAGAACAAAATTACATAATTAATGCCTTTTTTTTTTTTTTGGTGGTTAACTTTTCACATAGAAACTACAAATCCATCATCCAGCATCAACAATAATCAATTCATGTTCAAGGTTGTTTCATATACCACCCCTGCCTCCTACCTTTTTTTGCAGAATTATTTTAAAGCTACTTCTAGACATCGTATCATTTCACTTACAAATGTTTCATTATGTGTCCTTAACTGAGAAGGACTTAAATTTACCCTTTTTTAAAAAACTGAGGTATAATTTATATACAACCAACTACACAGATCTGAAGTATATGTTTCAATGGATTTTGACAGACATGTACTCCCATGTAACCATCACCTCCAACAACTGGAATTTGTGTCCTGTTTCAGAATTCTTTGCCTACACCAAAGTCATGATGGTATTCTCCTATGATTTTTTTTCCTAGAAGCTTAAAGTTTTAGCTTTTACATTTATGTTTATGATCCATTTTGATGTATTTTTTTTGTGTATGGTTTGAGGTTTTGAGGTTTGACATAGTACTTGTTTATAGCACCATTTGTTGAATCGACTCTCCTTTTACCATTGTATTGCTTTGGTGCCTTTGTTGAAAATCATTGTCTAAGTGTGGGTTTATTTCTGGACAGTCTCTTCTGTTAATTTAATCAACATCACACTGTCTTGATAACTTCAGCTTTATACTAAGTCTGTTTTTTTATATTTTTAAAAAAAATTTAAAATTTATTTTTAGCTGCGTTGGGTCTGTGTTGCTGCGCACAGGCTTTCTGTAGTTTGCAGTGAGCAGGGACTACTATTTGTTGTGGCGTGCGGGCTTCTCATTGCAGTGGCTTCTCCTGTTGCGGAGCATGGGCTCTAGGCACATGGCCTTCAGTAGTTGTGGCGCACGGGCTCTAGGGTGCGTGGCCTTCAGTAGTTGTGGCACGCGGGCTCAGCAGTTGTGGCTTGTGGGCTCTAGAGCGCAGGCTCAGAAGTTGTGGCGCATGGGCTTAGTTGCTCCGGGGCATGTGGGATCTTCCCGGACCAGGGATCAAACCCCTGTCCTTGCATTGGCAGGTGGATTCTTAACTACTGCGCCACCAGGGAAGTCCCTATACTAAGTCTTGAAACCATTTATCATAAGTCTTCTTTTACAGGGTTATTCTGGCTATTCAAGGTCCTTTTCATTTCCAAATATTTTTTTGAATCAGCTAGATGTTTTCAACAAAAATAAGTCGTGTGGGATTTTGATTGGAATTGTGTTGAATCTGTAGATCAGTTTGGTTAGAATCGACGTCTCAAGAGTACTGAGTTTTCCAGCCCACAAACTAAGTATATCTCTCTATTTATTTAGGTCTTTAATTTCTCAAAGTAACATTTTGTAGTTCTCAGTGTAGAATGTTTGCACATCTCTTCAAATTCATTCCTATACATTTTATGTTCTTGATATTTTTGGAAATGTTTTTAAAATGTAACTCTCCAGTTGTTTCTGACTAGTATTTATAAATACAGTTGATGTTTGTATGTTGACCCCTCATGTCCAGCCACCTTGCTAAATTTAAATTAACTTACTACTTCTAGTTTTTTTTTATTGAGGTATAGTTGATTTATAATATTATATAGGTTTCAGGTGTACAACATAGTTATCCACAATTTTTAAAAATTATACTCCATTACAGTTATTATAAAATATTGGCTATATTCCCTGGAGGGTATTATGCTTAGTAAAATAAGTCAGACAGAGAAAGACAAATACTGTGTGATCTTACTTATATGTGGAATTTAAAAAAGCTGAACTCAGGGAAGCAGAGAGTACAGTGGTGATTGCCAGGGGCTGCAGATAGGGGAAATGAGGAGATGTTGGGTACAAACTTTCTCTCTTTGACTTATTTTGTTAAGCATAGTACCCTCCAGGTCCATCCATGTTGTTGCAAATGGCAAAATTTCATTCTTTTTATGGCTGAGTAATATTCCATTGTAGTACATGTATACCACATCTTTATCCGTTCATCTGTTGATGGACATTTAGGTTGTTTCCATATCTTGGCTGTTGTAAATAATGCTTCTGTAAACATTGGGGTGCATGTATCTTTTCAAATTAGTGTCTTTGTTTCCTTTAGGTATATACCCGGAGTGGAATTGCTGGATCATATAATACTTCTATTTTTAGTGTTTTGAGGAACCTCCATGCTGTTTTCCACAGTGGGCGCACCAATTTACATTCCCATCAACAGTTCTCACCAACACTTGTTATTTGTGTTTTTTTGGATGATGGCCATTCTGATAGGTGTGAGGTGATATCTCACTGTAGTTTTAATTTGCATTTCTCTGATGGTTAGTGATGTTGAGCATCTTTTCATGTGCCTGTTGGCCATCTTCATGTCCTCTTTGGAAAAATGTCTATTCACATCTTCTGCTCATTTTTTTTTATATTTTATTTTATCTTCCAAAAAATGGATATTTTTAATGTATTCGATTAGCAAAGATTAAAAAGTTAGATAATTCCTAGTGTTGGTAAAAAGTTGGAAAGCAGAATTGTATATTCATTGGTGGCAATGCTTCTTATCCAGTCCATGTTCTGTGTATACTGAAAATTTGAGGTCTCTAGGTGCCATACTGTGTTCTTCACTAAACATCTTCCCTTTTTTTAAAATTAATTTTTATCAGAGTATAGTTGCTTTACAATGTTGTATTAGTTTCTGCTGTACAGCAAAGTGAATCAGTTACACGTATACATATATCCACTCTTTTTCAGATTTCCTTCCCATCTGGGTCACCACAGAGCATTGAGTAGAGTTCCCTGTGCTATACAGCAGGTTCTCAAATTAGTGATCTATTTTATACATAGTAGTCTATACATGTCAATCTCAATCTCCCAATTCAACCTACCTTCCCTTCCCCCGTTGGTAACTGTAAGTTTGTTCTCTACATCTTTGACTCTATTTCTGCTTTGCAAATAAGTTCATCTCTATCATTTTTCTACAGTCCACATATGAGTGATATTGTACGATATTTGTTTTTCTCTTTCTGACTTCACTCTGTGTGACAGTCTCTCGGTCCATCCATGTCTCTGCAGATTTCTGCCCTTTTTTCTTTTTTAAAATTAATTAATTAATTAATTAATTAATTTTTGGCTGCGTTGGGTCTTTGTTGCTGCGTGTGGGCTTTTTCTAGTTGTGGAGAGCGGGGCCTCCTCTTCATTGCGGTGTGCGGGCTTCTCATTGCGGTGGCTTCTCTTTTTGCAGAGCACGGGCTCTAGGTGCATGGGCTTCAATAGTTGTGGCATGCAGTCTCAGTAGTTGTGGCTCGCGGGCTTAGTTGCTGCCTGGCATGTGGGATCTTCCCGGACCAGGGCTTGAACCCGCGTCCATTGCATTGCCAGGCGGACTCTTAACAAATGCGTCACCGGGGAAGTCCCCCCATTTTTTAATTGAGTTGTTTTTTTTGATATTGAGTTGTATGAGCTGCGATTTTTTGATATAGAGTTGTATGAGCTGCTACAACTTCTAGTTTTTATTTGGACTTTTGGATTCTAGGATACAGTCATGACTGCAAACAAAGATAGGTTTATTTCCCATAGATAATCATTTTTATTATTTTTCTATATATACCTCCAGTATTTAAAAAAATTTTTTTTGAAGTCCAGTTGATTTACAATGTTGTGTTAATTTCTGCTGTACAGCAAAGTGATTCAGTTATACATATATCTGTTCTTTTTCATATTATTTTCCATTATGGTTTATCACAGGATTTTGAATATAGTTCCCATGCTATACAGTAGGACCTTGTTGTTTATCCGGCAGTATTTTTTATGAAAAGACAATCAAAGATTAAACACACATATTAAACCCTGCTCCCCACCCCCCACCTTTCCTAAGGGGGTCCTTGTTAAACTGAACCTTTTAACTGATATGTAATAAAATATACCCACCACTTCCTTACTGGCTTTTGGATTTTATGTGTGTTTTTTTTTGGCCATGCCCTGTGGCTTGCGGGATCTTAGTTCCCCCATCAGGGATTGAACGTGCGCCCCCTGCAGTGGAAGTGTGGAGTCTTAACCACTGGCCTGTCAGGGAAGTACCTCCTTGGTTTTTTTTTTCTTTTAGAGTAGGTTTACCTTTCCTCTGTTCTCAGAACATGAGAGATGGTGGAATAATGCAGTGCTTACAAGTGGCACTGTCACTTTCAGTCACATTTCTTTGTCCAGGGCAAGTCATGAGACCAAGCCTGACGTCAGGGGCAGAGAATTATACAGAGAAACAAATAATTGGGAATGTTGATGATATCTACCACAAAGGGCCTACAGGCTAGAAAGGAATGAGGTAAAAAAAAAAATGCAAGGAACCTTGTGGACTGAGACTCTATGTATATTGTGTGAGAGGACAGGATCCCTGCTGAAGAGGCACAGGCATAGGGCCCACAGTAAGGGTCCCAGCAATGTCAAATTGCTTCTCTGTCCCACAGGTCCTGGCTGCATGGCAACAAGTTGGGCTTTTATAAGTAAGTTTTGGAGGAATCACACCAGGCAGCAGAAATTGATCTTGAGATGAAATCATTTCTACCAGGCCTCCTGGCAGAATTTCAAGGCGAACACGGGGCTGACTCTGGGGCCATGATGTTGCCTGATCCTTCTGCCTGGAGAGAGCAGGACTGGGAGGAGATGTTGCCTTTGGAGAACAGGGAAGTTGCGGAAACAGTGAAGACACCGACTCAGAATCACAAGGCAAAAGGTGAGAGCTGTTGAGGGTCCAGAGAGGTGAAGAGGGGGAGCAGGGCTCCAGGTTTACTGCGAATGCCTTGTGATCACAGGAAAGGGGCGACTTTCTCTTCACAAGTCACGGAGGAGCTGCTCTGACAGCACCATGGGAGCCCCAGTTTCTCATAGCTTCTTTTTCCTTCTCTAGGTTTGCCTTCTCACAAGACTGACTGGCTTCAAGAAAAGGAGGGAAAAGTCCAAAATACTGGTGAGTTGGGGTTACATTTATTTAAAGTCTCTCAAAATTGCTCTTAAGGACATGTGGCAAGTAGCGAAACATTTATTCAAGAAAATCTACTAAATCAGCAAGAGTCTGTGGCATTTGTCCCACAACCTGCTCCCTCCTGGTCACCCTTCAGCTCAGTGTAATGGAAGCTGTACTCCAAATGGGTACAGCTAAGAAGATGGGACTTTCTTCCCCCAGTTCCCAGTCTTTTTCTCTGGGAGGGGCAAGCTACCAGCAATTCTTATTCCCCCCAGCTCAGTGTGGCAGGCAAGTATGGCCAAGAAGTCTGGCGTTTTCTATCTCCACTAGACCCTATTTGTATGATGGAAGCTCTGTCTCAGGCACAGGTGGTCAAGAATCAGGAGGGACCTTATTGCCTTCTCCCCATCTTGCTCATAGGGCAGACAGAGATCCTGTGCTAGGAGAAGCATGCTGAGAAGAAAAGGAGCTGCCACCCCTGCCCAGTGCCCCACTGTTAGGGCAGGAGTGTCACACTGAGCGAAGTGGTCTGCCAGTCCTGTGCCACCTCTGAGTAGTGGTGCAGAGGTCCTGCCCTGGTGGGAGGCAGGCCATAGGAACAGAGAGCTCTACAGCGCTCCCTAAGGGGACTGGCTTTGTGTGGAACTGAGCAGGGAAGTTGAAGCCTTAGGGTGTTGTTGAAAACAGTGAAGATTTTGGTGGTGAGCAATTAAGAGGAAACTGAGAAGCCTGTGATAGCAACAAGGGAAATGGCAGATCACCTGGAAGTTTAACAGAGAAAGCAGGGAAAGAAATTGCTGAGAGGAGCTCTCCTACGGGTCGGAGTAAGTCTCAAATACTGGCCTCAAAATTACCCCTGCAAAAGGATCTGACTTTAATTGGATCAGACTGTGGAGCCATTTATACTCCAGGACATTGTTGAAAACAGTAGAGCAGTCAGCAACCAATAGTGGAGGCTAACAGTCGGGTGTGATACCAATAGAGGCAGACCTGCTGGAAGCTTAACGGGGAAGTCAAGGAGAGACATGAAGAGAGCCCTCTGTCAGGAGGGGGAAGGTCTGGGTGACTGTGTGTTTGCTCAAGGCTGCACCCTCTGAGGAGCCACTGCTTCAGGGAAATAACCTTCATCGAACTAATCCAGACAGGTCTCAAAACAAATGAACAAGCAGACAACCACAACCTAGGAAGACGGCAGGGTTGGTATCCAGAGTTGCTACAATATTTTACCTAAAATGTCCAATATTCAAAGAAAAATTATATAGATAAGGGGAGGGAGAAGGAGGGAAAGGGAAAGAAAGAATATATGAATTTAAGAACGAGAGAAAGCCTAAATAAATTTTCCTGGTCTGTAAAATGAAAACAACTTTTCAGTTCTATGAGTTAAATTATAATCTCACTGGATTGTAAATTCATCTTCCCCTATTGGTTATGAGTTGTTCATTCATTGATACACTGTGAACACAAAGTTATACTCCTAGAGAATGTCCAGTGGGGTTGGGGCTAGGAAGCAAAGCAAGCTAAATGCCCTGCTTTCATTTCAGGAAGCTTATTGAAGTCTAGGCAGAACTTGGAGATATTGTGGGTTTGGTTCCAGACCACCATGGTACAGTGAATATCACAGTAAAGTGAGACACATGAAATTTTTGGTTTCTCAGTGAATATAAAAGTTATGTTTACACTATACTGTAGTCTATTATGTGTTCAATAGCATTATGTGTGAAAAAACAATATACATACCTTAATTAAAAAATACTTTATTGGACCCTGGAGGTCCAGTGGTTAAGACTTCACCTTCCATTGCAGGGGGTACAGGTTCGATCCCTGGTCAAGGAGCTAAGATCCCACATGCCTCACAGCCAAAAAACCAAAAACATAAAACAGAAGCATTATTGTAACAAATTCAATAAAGACTTTAAAAATGGTCCACATCAAAAAAGTCTTTAAAAAACACTTTATTGCTAAAAAATGCTAACCATCCTCTGAGCCTTCAGCAAGTTGCAGTAGTAACATCAAAGATCATTCATCAGAGATCACTGTAACAAGTATAATAATAATAAAAACATTTGAAATGTGAGAATTACCAAAATCTGACACAGAGACACGTGGTGAGCAAATGCTGTTGGAAAAATGGCGCCAATAGACTTGTTTGACATGGGGTTGCCACGAACCTTCAATGGTAAAAAACTTGATGTCTATGAAGGGCAATAAAGCAAAGTGCAGTAAAATGAGGTACACCTGTACTGCTCTACGTGATGAGTGAAGCATTAAGGGCTTTATTTTGAAGAGGTTAAAATACCAGGCAAAGACAGATTTTGCAGATCCCATTTAGTATAACCTGAACTCTTCAAAAATGCTTATTCCGGGCTCCATCTGTTCACTCCTGCTTTTCTCTATGGTTGAAGTTTTCTTTCATTTTCTCCTCTAAATCGTCTCCATTCCCTAATGCCCAGCACAAGCCTTGTGTACATGATGCTTTTTTTCTTTTCTAGCGCATGCTCTACTCTTCATCTCAGAATTCCTCCATTCCTCAGGGTCATTGAGCACTGCTTTAGGTTTTCAAATTGATTCACAAATCATTTCTCCAAAGAAATCAAAAGTGTCCGAGGACCAGGAATGAGTTTTATGCATCAGTTATGTACTCCTCAGATTTTAACACAAAGCTGTAGTAATAATGCCCAGAAGAACTTGATACAGAGAACCATGTGCTCTGAAAAGAATTAGATCAACTTCTTGCATATCCACACTCTCCGGGGCCACCAGCTATGTTCCTCATAGTGGGAGGACTGATGGGGACTTGCTGTATGTCCCTTAATTTATTGCTTGTTTATAGGTACCAGTTACATTCAGGGATGTGGCTGTGGTCTTCACAGAGGCAGAATGGAAGAGACTGAGCTCTGAGCAGAGGGACCTTACAGAGAAGTGTTGCTGGAGAATTATAGGAATCTGCTCTCGTTGGTGAGGCAGTGTTCTTTCCTTCATTAATTCAGTGGAGATTTACTGACCACCTCCCATATGGCAGAAAATGTTCTAGACACTTAGAACATGTTAGTGAATGAAGTGGTAATCTCTGCCCATGGGGAATTACTTTCTACTGTAGGGAGACAGCTAACGAAAAGCTTCATATTCAGGGACATTATTCTTATTTAAAAATTTTTGCATATGTTTAATTTTCTTTTTTATTGAGGTATAGTTGATTTACAGTATTACATAAGTTTCAGGTGTACAACGTAGTGATTCACAATTTTTAAAGGGTATACTCCATTTTTGGTTAGTACATATATAGGGATATTATAATATGGTATGTTAGAAGGTGCTAAGCACTACATAGTAAAAAATAATAATAAAATAGAACCGGATAAAGGAGTATTAAGTGTGAGAGTGTGGCTGGCTGAATTTTGAAACTGGGTATTTGAAATCACCAAGAAGGTAACATTTGACCAAAGGGAATTAGAACTCTAGGTATCTAGGATAAGAGCATTTCAGGTGGAGGGCCTAGTCGGTGCTAAGGCCCTAAGGAATTGGGGTGCCTGCTGGATATAAGGAACTACAACGGAGGCACAGTATGCAAGGGGAGAGCAGTGAGAAATGCCTTCTAAGACAGAAGTTAACATTAAATATCAAAGTTTGTATGGCTTTTGAGTTTCATAAGCCATATTTTTTTCATTTATTTAAAAACTGACATTGATTCTTTAAATCTAGGTTGATAAATACTTTTGATTGTGATATTTCTCTGGATCAGGGGTTGGCCAACGTTTTCTGTAAAGGGCCAGAAAGTAACTATTTTAGGTTTTGTGGGTGATATGGTTTCTGTAACCACTCTCAACTCTGCCCTTGTAGGGTTAAAGTAGCCATGGACAACAGGTAAATGAATGAGTATAGCTGTGTTCTAGTAAGACTTCTGTGGACACTGAATTTTGGATTTCATGTAATTTTAATGTATCATGAAGTATTATTATTATTTTGATTTTTTTCCAACTATTTAAAAACTTAAAAGTCATTCTTAGCTTGTAGACTGTGCAGAAATAGAGGGCCAGATTTAGCTTGTGGGCCGTAGTTTTCCCACCCCTTGTTCTAAATCAGTGCTGTCCAGTAGAAATATAATGTGAGCCATGTGGGTAATTTTAAATTTCCTAGCAACCACATTTAAAAAAGTAGAAGTAAATGGGTGAAATTAATTTTAATAATATCTTATTTAACCCAATATATCAAAATATTTTCATGTCAACATATAATCAATATAAAAATTAATTAGATATTTTACTCTTTATTTTTGTAGCAAGTGTTCAAAATCTGGTTGTTATTTTATACTAGAACACATTTTCGCTCAGACCAGCCACATTTAAAGTGCTCAGGAAGCATACAGCTGGTGGCTACCATATTGGATAGTGTGGTTCTAGATATTCCTGTAGTTCTAGATAAAGCAGGTAGAGAAAAATCACATTTTTGGAGACACAAACTAGTTTTAGGCAGGAGTTTCTTCAGGGGTTTCCTTAAACGGCATGGCTATTTCCCTGATATGGATTAATCAGGTTTACTTTTTTCATTTTCATCTTCTTTGTCATGTTTTGATCTGATATCATCTAGTTTGAGCTCCATCTAATTAAGTGTGGATTCATCTGTTTCAGTCTGGTTCTGTGTGTTTTGATTTGGCCTTAGCTAGTCAGTCTAACTAGATTTTGTTTTTATTTTTCTCTTGTCATATTATCTTCCTTCTCTGTGTTAATATGTTTAACGGGTTCCAAGGAAAATGTCAAAATGACCTTGTTCAGATTAGTCTTGATATTGAATGCCTGGATCCCACTTGCGTTTCTTGAAGTTGTGTCCTTTGTCTTGCTCAGCACCACAATATCCTGCAGTTCTCCTGCCTCTTATGTCTCTTGTGGGCTTTTCTCTTACTTTTTTCTTTTCTTTGGAGTGTAAGTGTCCATAGGACTAGTGCCACATACTCTTTTTTTCTATGTCAGTATTCACACCCTTGAACAGTTTGTGAACTTCAACGATTTTACCCATCACCTATTATAATGAATCCATTTTCTTTGTCACTGTCTCACCTGTGCTTTATCTTCATATTTCTATTTGGTTACAAGACAGCACAAGTTTATTCTCAAACTTATTTGAGATAATTGAGATAAATTGAGATCATACTATTTTTCCTCCTAAACCAGTCTCTCTTTCTCTAGTTCTTCACATGTTCATGTTATGATGTCTCTTCCTCAAAGGTGCTCCCTGAAATAATCTTTAAAGCTTTCATAGGGGAGATATTTCAGTTAGTTTAGGCTAGGTAATGCTGTGATAACAAACAACCCCAAACTTTGCAAATGTTCATTTCTTACTTAATATCTACTGTCTTCAGTTCAGGTAGACAGCTCTGTTGGTTCAGCTCTGCTGGCTCTGGGATCTAGGCAAAAGGAACAGCCTCCATCTGGGTCATGGGATTCTTAAGGAAGAGGGAAAACAGCCATGATAGAACCATACTGTGCCTCTTAAAACTTGTTTGGAAGAAGCACTAACTTTTCACTAACCTTTGTTGGCCAAAGCAAATCCCATAGCCACGTCTGATGTCACTATAATGGGATTAGTTTGGGCACAAGGTACCAGAATCCTGAAATCATGGAGCATGTCTTTCTGTCCACTGCGGAATCCACAATACTTTAGTAGAGAACCTAGTACTTAGAAATTTTTAGTATTTGTTTGTGGGTGGACAACTGGAAATTCAGATTTATTTCATATACAGTCTCTTTAACCACTGTTTCATATACTGTTTCCTACATTTGAAAGCCTTTCAGACCTAGTGACTTTTTTTGTATATCAGTCTTCTATTTTGTAATAGAAAAGGCACGAAAGAGATTTCCACATAGGTCATAGAGACTGTTACCTCCAAGTAGAACAGAGTTGTGGACAGTCTATATCAATGTGATACAGACTTAGATGATTTAGTCAGAGGAAGAGGCTAAGGGTAGTTGAGGCTACTTGCAGAGCAAAAAGGTTCCTGGTCTGACTGACATATAGAAGATGCTTTTGTTATGGATTTTCTGGATTGCAATAGAAAATGGAATGTGTAGAAGTGGAATGTAAAGGAATTATTGGTGGGAAACAAATTGTGTTGTATGTATATTGTCAATTACAGTTGTGGCAGTAAGACACTTTCTGTCCTAAGACAAGGCAGAACGGCCCAGCAGCCCTACTTAGGGCTTCTCTAACTGAAAACCTTCTTTCTCCAGCAGAACCAAAGCCAGAGATCTACCCCTGTTCTTCCTGCCTTCTGGCCTTTTTCTGTCAGCGGTTCCTCAGCTAACACACGCTGCAGATCTTCCCGGGTGTGTGTGTAGAAAATCACTTCCACCTGGGGGATTCTGGCCTGGGGCATCGGGGGCAGCAGTATTCTGCTCACAACTGCTGGAGTGAAAACACAGAAGGCCAAGAGAGAGAAGGTGACTCCAGACTCTGGTGCTCGAGGACAGAGGAGAGACGGCCCTTACGTGCATTGCCCAGCCCACCCTGAGAACAGTCAGCAATTCCTGGAGAAGGCAGCGCAGTGGTAGAAATAGAGCCCAGCGTAGCCCAAAGGGTAAACCCTTTGCAAGCAGACAAAGAAATGAAGGAATTAGAAACCTCAAGCTCTGGAGCAGTCAACTGTCAAGAACGTGAACTAGACTGTAGCCCCAAATCAAACTGCATTACAAACCAGGTCATCCTCTTAGGGGAGAAGCTCTATGTCTTCAGGGAGTGTGGGCGAGGCTTTAGAGATAAGTTGAACCTCATCAGACACCATTGGACACACTCAATGGAGAAGCCTTATGTGTATAGTGAGTGTGGCCGAGGTTTCAGCCAGGTGTCAACCCTTATTAATCACCGGAGGACACACTCAATGAAGAAGCCTTACATGTGCAAGGAGTGTGGGCGGGGCTTTAGCCAGAAATCACTCCTCCTTGTGCACCAGAGGACACACTCAGGGGAGAAGTATTATGTTTGCAGGGAGTGTGGGCGAGGCTTTAGCAACAAGTCAAGTCTCATAAGACACCAGAGGACACACTGAGAGGAGAAGTCTTGTGTATGCAGGGGTCCTGGGCAGGACTTTAGCAATTAGTCGAACCTCTTCTTACGCCAAAGAGACATGCGGGGAGTAGTCTGTATGTGTGTGTGGGGTGTGAGTGAAGCTTCAGAGATGTGTTGACCCTCATCAGGCAGTGAGGCACATTCAGGGCAGGAGCCTTATGCGTGCAGAGTGTGGGTAGCTGTCAACCCTCAGTGCACAAAGAGGACGCACTTAGGTGGGAAGTATTGTGTGTGCAGGGACTGTGGGGAAGCTTTAGCAATAAGTCAGCATTTATGGAACATCCAGTGGCCGACTCAGGAGAAGCGTCATGTGTTCAGGGAGTGCTGACAGGCATTGGGAAAAGAACCGACAGGAGGGCTCCAGATGGCTCACTCAGGGAGGAGCTGTGTGTTTGCAGGGAGTGTGGGCAAGGCTCTTGTGATCAGTCAGCTTTCTTCACACACTGTAGGGAGAATCCTTATGTGGGGATACTGTGGGGCTGCTCCAGCCAACTGCTGCTGATAGCTGCAGAGATGAATTCCTCACTAGACTTGCTCTCAGCCACAGGGAGCTGCACTTCCCAGGGATGCCTCCTGGCCAACGACTGATTGATACGGGGAGACAAAACCCTAGCCGGACTCTGCTGGGACAACTCCACAGGGTCATCCCAGATCCCAAGGTCCCCATGAAACTGAATGATCTCAAACACATTGCAGGTCAGCTTCTTCCTCTGCCCAGTCCTGTCCTCATTCACCGATAAGCCACTCAATTCTCTGCCTCATTGTCTCTCCAGGGAATCCACCCTAAGATATCATAAGCACACAAGGAGTGTGGATGAGGCTTTGGCTAAAAGTCGCTCCTCAACAAACCCCAGAGTATACAGAATAGAAGCTCTGTGTGTGCGGGGAGAATGGGTAAGGACACCTCAGGATGCATCAGAGAGCAGCTTTTGAGGGAGAAGCTTTACAAGGCAGGGAGGGAGACTGGGAAGATTTAGCAATAAGTTACACCTTCTGGTGCAGCCGAGGACACTCAGGGAGTCCTATGTGGGTGGGGTTGTGGGCGGAGCCTTATTCTGACACCCCTCCTCACAGATCACTACCTCACTCACCTCCTGGGGGGGTTTCAGAAGTCTTGACCCCCACCCGTCCCCATACTCTTTGAGGGTGAAAATGGCAGTAACAACTTAATAAACATGTTTTTCCACTTTTTGTAATCAGATGGAATAAAAAAGTAGAAGGCTTTATTTAAGTAAGAATAATCAATTTGTTTTATTTTCAAACACCAATTTTTTCCCATGTTTTCATGTCTTTCTGTTCTCATAAATTGTTCAATAAGCTCAGGCTATGTACCTTAGTCACTCATCTGTCTGGAAAGGAATTAAATTTCACAACCTGGATTTCTGCATGAATTCAACCCTTGAGAAAAAATAAGTCCCAATCAACCTAGTAGATTTATTGGAGGATCTGATTCGTTGCATGGGGAGGATGATGTAGGTTCTGGAGACATGCCCACCGAAGCAAGGGAATTTCCCGGGTCTCTGGGGGCTGGGTTGCCTCTTCTGACTGATCACTCCCTTTGGCTTCTGTGAAAGCTCCCTTCCCTGACTTCTGTCTCTTCCTTCTAGTCTCTATTCAGGTCTCTGCTGTATCCTTCTCTACCACTGAAGCATTGTTTTTCCTTCCAGATTCCAGAGTCAGGTCCTTTAACCACGCCCAAACTGCTCTCCAGTCATGAATCATTGCTTTGGGTCTCTTAGCTACTTTGGTGTCAGATCATAAGTCTAAAGACCCCTGGGGAATTCCCTGGTGGTCCAGTGGTTAGGACTCTGTGTTTTCACTGCTGAGGGCTGGGGTTCAATCCCTGGGCCCTAATCCTGCAAGCCACGTGGGGCAGCCAAAAAAACAAAACAAAAAAAACCCTAAACACAGCTCCAATGCCACGTCCCCTCATCCCTCCAATCCTAGGGTCTAGTCCTGCTAATGACACCCACATCATCCCTCCACTAACTGGTCCAAGATAACCTGGTCATACCCCTGCCCTTGTTTTTCAGCCCAAGGACCTGGCCTTTAATCACACCCTTTCCTAGTCTTCCTCCCTCAGAGCCCAAATTGCCCAGATTTTTGACAACTCTGCATGCCCTGGCTCTGACTTCTACGTCCTAAGCCAGAACTCTTTACTGGAGAGGGTTGGCCTCAGCTCTAGCAAATTTGTTTGCTCAGTTGGAGTTTGCCAGATCCACAAAATGGATATCAGGCTTTGAAAATCAGAAAAAGCACAGGCTGATTTTGTTGCACTATCAAAGAGCGGGGCAGTAAAGGAGAGTCCAAAGGCCATGAAGTCAGCTTTCCAGTGGGTCCTGAGTCAGCTCTGGTGGAGAGGATGTGAGTGCCGGGAGCGTGGGTCCCCACCCTTTGCCACATTTCCCGTCATGTTTCTTTGCTGGAACTGCCCCTATAACATCAACAATTTGCTTTGGGTCAGAACTGGAAGCCACAGAGGGAAAAGTGTTTATGGGTATGCAGTCTCTAGGGTCTGAAGAGGGATAGGCCCTCTATGTTCCAGATGACCCCAAGACCCCTCCCTGTGTCCTGCCATTGGGAGAGAAACATGTGAACAAATCAGCACCTTCCTTTGGGAAGGAAGGGTGGGAGGAAAGAAAATGATGCAGATTCTTTTTAACTGAAGTCCCTTATAACCTGTAGTGACCTCAGACGTGTTCCAGGGAAAGGACTGTCAGTCCTAGCCCAGCAAAGGGAGAGGGGTATGGGGTTATCTTTCCAAGCCTGGAAAGGGGCTTCCCCAGACTGCTGCTACTCTGTCCTTTATCTCTAGGAAGGACCACTGGAACCAGCTCCTGTATTCCGTCCCAGCAGGAAGCAGAACAGGGGTGTGTGAGGTGAGCTCTCCCTCCGAAGAAAGGAAGGTACACATCCCCACTCCCTAGGATTTTCCTTTCTGGCCCCAGGGAGGAGGAGCTCAGACTTAAAATAAGAGCTTATTTCCGACATGAGGTCAGTGGCCTCAAACTCAGAGGCCTGCAGTGTCCAGGCAGGTCCTATACTAATGAGGGGGTCAAGCCTCGATTGGGTGGGGGTGCTTTGGGGAACTGGGGAGCTCAAACTCAAGTTGCTTCCTACATCCTTCCTGGCCTCCTCACTTGACTCCACTCTAGAAAGCCTTGAACTACACCTCGTTTGGGCCTTTTCATTTAATGATCCAAATGTCCTGCCCCTTTTTTTGAGCCATGACCTTGACTTCAGAACCCTCCAGCATTCTTCCCCGTGTTCAGTTTTAGAAATGTCTTTTTCATGTTGAGTTTTGCTTAATTTTCTGAAAAACAGGGCAGTAGATTATGAAAAATGAACATCAGTTTTGATATGGGAACATCTGACCCAATAACACAATGGTGTGGAAACTCCGTAATCTGACAAAAGAACGTGTAAAAATGCGATGATTTGGCGGCACCTTGTGTGATGAATCCATGTGAGGGCCACCTGTGGGTCACAGAGAGGATCTGGGTTGGGGGGACTTTCAAGATGGCTGGCAATCTGACAGCCCCTGGCTGTGAAATTAGGTACGGTGGGTTAGATTTAAAGTGACCTAATTTATACACACAAGCTCTAATCTGACTTTTAAATATCTGTACATATATTTCTCATATATTCAAAGTAAGCATGTATAAATTTTTTATCAATTTTTTTCTAAAAGAAAACAGATAGTAAAGGATTCTTGGCAAAACATGAGATTTTCTCATTGCATAATCTTTCTCCTAATGGAAATACCATGTTATCCTTTATTTCCTCCTAATTAAGCATGACATATATAAGGGATAAAAATCCATATTCTTATATAAAGATTATTTTTATCTAGCTCTGTACCCTATTCATTAATTTTAACTTCATTATCATTTTGGAGAATAGCCAAAAACTCTACTGCCATTTTTTAAAAAAAATTTTTAATTATTATTATTTTTAAAATAAATTTATTTTATTTATTTATTTTTGGCTGCGTTAGGTCTTTGTTGCGCGGGCTTTCTCTAGTTGTGGCGAGTGGAGGCTACTCTTCGTTGCGGTGCACGGGCTTCTCATTGCAGTGGCTTCTCTTGTGGAGCATGGGTTCTAGGTGCGCGGGCTTCAGTAGTTGTGGCTCGCGGGCTCTAGAACGCAGGCTCAGTAGTTGTGGCATACGGGCTTAGTTGCTTCACAGCATGTGGGATCTTTCCAGACCAGGGCTCGAACCCGTGTCCCCTGCATTGGCAGGTGGATTCTTAACCACTGCACCACCAGGGAAGCCCCTCAACTGCCCTTCAAAGAGAAGTTTAGGACAGGTTGAAATATGACATTCTAGAATCCTAAAAAAAAATGAAACCAGATTTCTAGAGTTCCAGCCATCAGTGCTCTAAAAAGGATAAAAGCATTCCTTCTCTGTCTGAGTGTTGAGGCAACAGCTGAGGATTGGAAAATCTCACAAAGCCAGATTACACACAGGGACAGGCTTGTCTGCTTCTAATGTAGACCACAGTGTGGGGCCCAGCTTACCTTGCTTACTAGGTTCTAAGGTAGAGCTGGTTTTACAGAATCCTTGCTGCTACTAGTCATCAGTTCCCCTTTTCCCTACTTCCTACTCCTTCTGGGAACTAGAAAGCTATTTTTTTGTCTGCGGGGGGGAGAGAGCTTAATTTTATGAAGTTTAATGCTACTTATCATAGTTTTTGTCTGAGCTGCCTCTCTTTTGTGTATTATAATAACCTTGGGCAAAAGCAGCAGGACCCCGACCTTCCCCTAGGTCTAATAAACACTGCCACTAAAAGAGGCTTCCTTGTCTTTTGATAGAGGGGTTCAACTTGTAAAAATCTTAGAGTAAGTAAATTTTGCAATATTGGAGGTGTGCCTAATAAAATTGTGAAGACATTTGAGATCAGATTTTCTGCTTAATATATTGGTACAGGAATTATTTGGGTGTTGAAGACCTGGAAGAGATGATGTGGGGAATCTGAGAGAAAACTTAAGAGAAAGGTATGATGAATAGCACTGAGACCAGGGTAAATCTGGGAGGTCAGAAGTGTTGCACTTGTCCAGGCAAAATTTACAGGACAACTATGGTAATAGTTTTGTGGACTGAAAGAGAAGATAGGCTTTGTAGGGTTTGTCTTCAAAGCACTTGGTGATCACCTGGATGTAGAATTTAAAAGCACCCCCGCAAACACAGCTTTCCAACAGTAGAAACATTTGCAAAAGATAAAAAGTGCTCATCACTCCAAGAATCCAAGCAGAAAGCCAACGTCTTATCTATGTTTATCATGAGAGTAGTTCCTTCTTTAGAGGCTACCATCGTTTCCCTCTGAGGCCTGCATTCTGCTGACCTGTATGGTAGAATATGTTTGGGTGTATGTGGAGTGGTGTCACTTAATCAATATATTGTCTTAGCTCCAAATTCATCTTTTGTTGCCTGATCTGTGAAAATGGATCTGGGCCCTTTATATATTTTTCCTTTGTCAGCTGTCATGAGGTACATCAGTAGTGGGCTGTTCTGGAACAACATTGCTGGAGGAAGGGGTCCTCTCTCCTGGTGTAGGTGGCTCTTCCACCAGGCTCCTGGAGAGTACCCTTTTCCCCTGCTTCTCGGCCAGTGCACTTTTCTCTCATGCTAAATGCCTGCAGGGACACAGCTTTCTCAACCGATTGGCCACCCTGTGTTTTCTCCAGCTCTCCACCCAGGTGATGGTGGCTCAGGAGCCCCAACAGAACAGGCCTGTGCTCCAGCCCAGGTTGCTGCTCCTGTACCCTCTCTTCAGCACCATGGGGACACACCCTGGGGCCACCTTGGACCTTCATCCTGTGCAGAGGCTCAGAGCCTCCCAAGCCTGATTGTTGCTCCCCAGACCCTCTCCTTAGCTCTACATGCATGTGCACCAGAGCCCCAGCAGCCACCCATAGCTGCCCCAGCCTAAGCTGTGCACCTAAGTGCACTAGGTTTTTGCAGCTTTTCAGCCTCCATTTCTAGCAGCACCTATAGCAGTACCTTGACCTCTTTTGCTCACCCACCCATCAGTCTTGGCTGACTTGGCCCCAGAGGTTTGTTTGCTGCGGCCCTTCAGACACAGATACTGTATGGTCCAGGCTTTGTGTCAACATCAACACCCTGACTGTCTGTGCATGTTGGGCTCCCTTTGTGTACCTGCCAACCAGCCTTGGCTTGCTCCACAGGGATATTCCTACTTGCCTGGCGACTGCAGACCAGCTCTGGCCTGTGCAAAGTTCTGGCCCTTCCTACCAACTTCTCCACCATCCAGTGGGCTGAAACCACACCTTCTTTAGTGAGGGCTGAACCCAAACCTTGGGGAGGGAAACCTCCTTCTAGGTTTATCCTTCTTTAGGTACTCTCCCTTAGCTGAGGGTTTTCTTTTAATATTTACAGTTACTTTTCTACCATTGCAAAGTAATTCTTCCTGCTAAATTTACCATTTAAGTTACTGTGTGGTTTCTGTCTCCTCACTGGACTCACGTTGATACAGATGTGAATATGTACAGTTTTTATATGAGGGCAATGACGCAAACTTTTGACTGCAGTTATTCAGTGAACCCAGAGATAAACCAAAGAAATAATGCACGTCAAAATTACTATTAATACTAGCTGGGGCAATGGCCCTGAACCCAGACACAAACTTAATGGTCTAAACCAGGGGATGGAAAAATGCAGCCTGAAGGCCAAATCTGGCCTGCCACCTGTTTTTTTAAGGCCTGCAAGCTAAGAATGCTTCTTACATTTTAAATCATTGGAAAGAATCAAAAGAAGAATAATATTTTGTGACACATATTTGTGTT